ATGCAGCATGACTGCTCCATGCTCAGCTCTGCTCAGAATGAACTCAGACACTAGAGACGATGGGCTTCCCACGTGACGCTCATGGTAGAGAACCCGCCTACCAGTTCAGGAGACGTAAGAGACTCAGGTTCAGTCCCTGGGTCAGGAAGATCCCCTGGAGGAAGGCATGGCAACCCACTCCAGTATTCTTGCCTGGAGAATCCCATGGGCAGAGGAGCCTGGCCAGCCACAGTCCGTAGGGTCACACAGAGTCGGACACGAGTGAAGTGCTTTAGCGCGCCCAGACAATGCATTATTTAAAGAGGTGCCATGAAATTACACATCAAAACCACTGTATTTTCAAATCAGGCTATCCAGGAGTCTCCATGTATAGATTTTGCTAGAAACAACGTTGGAGAAATGGGGGAAAGATTCTCTAGGGTCTCCGTCGTGCTAATTCATGTTTCGGTGAAATCTCTCCCCAGGGACCACACTGTGTTTCCAGCACTAAGATTGATTGTCCTTTTCCTCTTGTTGGTCCAGCTGGCATTTTGAATGTACCTCCACTTTCTCTGTGTTATTATCCTTTGTCACTTTATCAAAGTGCAGTTTTATTATTCTGCCTCTCTCACTATTTTAGAAAGAAAAAAAAGAAGTTAAACCCCAGTGCACTCAAAAGCTTCCTGTTAGAGTCATCACTGGGAAATTTATCTTTTTACTTAAAATGGCTGGGCATAGAAATAGGAATGTGATTATTCCAGTGACCTGGTTAGCAAAGTGGGGAGACAAGCCGTCGATTTTTTTGGAGGACTTGAATTCAGCCTCTCTTATTAGTGTTAAAACTAGACTGGGGTTTCCCTGGTGGTCCAACGGTTAGGAATCTGCCTGCCAATGCAGCGGACCACCTGTGGTCTGGGAAGAGTCCACGTGCCGTCTGTCCATGGGATTCTCCAGGCAAGGGAACTGGAGTGGGTTGCCATGTCCTTCTCCAGGGGATCTTCCTGGCCCAGGGATCGAAGCCAGGTCTCCTGCACTGCAGGAGATTCTTTACCAACTGAGCTATGAGGGAAGCCCAAGAGAAGTGGCTGCAATGAGAAGTCCACACTCCACAACTCGAGACTGGCCCCTGCTCACTGCAACTGGAGAAAGCTGGCACTCGGCAACAAAGACCCAGAACAGCCCCAAGCAAGTAAAATTGAAAAGAAACTAGACGGGATACCTTCTCATGATTGAGAAAGTGCTGGAGAGTTTATAGTGTGTCCACTCTTTCACCAGGTATTTATTGAGGCACTACTAAACACTCAGTCACCCTTCTCTTTGCTGAGGCTCCAGACATCAGTGAGTTAATTAAGCCGACATGGTCTTTGCCCTCGCAGAATTTATTATGCTGACCATCAATCTATGAAGGAACACCGTGGATTTAAGAGGTGTACGGACAGGAGAAACGAATACTTAACCCAGCGGTTTGCTTTCAAATGTAAACTCTTGATTTTAACTTCTGGATTCATCATTTCCTTCTTCACCCTAAAAAAGCCAGTGCTGAAAATGTTCTGTCTTCTAGAGCTTTTTGTTTTATTGGGAATAAAAGTCTCTTGACATTTGTTTGATTGCATAATCCTACTTTCAAACAGAGTAAATATTTGGTTAGAAGCCAGAAGGAACCACTTTTTTTAAATGATTGTTAAAAAAGTGAATATAATTAGANCCTCCTGTGTGTGTGTGTGCTAAGTTGTTTTAGTTGTGTTGCTTCAGTTGTGCAACCCTATGGACTATAGCCCACCAGGCTCCTGTGTCCATGGGATTCTCCAGGCAAGAATACTGGAGTGGGTTGCCATGCCCTCCTCCAGGTGATCTTCCCAACCCAGGGACCGAACTCGGGTCTCTTACATCCTCTGCACTGGTAGGCAGGTTCTTTATCACTAGCACCACCTGGGAAGGCCCACAAATTGGAATAACAGTCTGTTCCCTGGAACACAGCATCACATGGAAGCTTCAGGGAAGCTTCATTCCTCTCCAGGACGCCTCTTCATCCTCAGGGTGGGGGTGCTCAGAGTGCTGTCCTCAGCCTGCCTCCCTCTGCTACCGGCGCCGTGAATCGTTGCTTTTGAGCCCTGAATCTGGCTGTTTTTCAGTAAAGGAGATCTCCTGCCTCACACGCCCTGCAGTCCATTCCGTTGTATGTGATGTGTTCCATGGATCTGTAAGCACGGACGTGTATCTGAATGAACATGCTGTATGCAAGACTGGAGTAACTTCTTTACATTATTTTAATGCTTTGGAATAAGAGCGAATCTTGGCTCACCTTTAAAATGAGAATTTTTATAGACGTGGTTCTTAGCACATATGAACAGTTTTAGAGTTGACAGTATGTTCTAGACACATGGAAGGATTTAAACAGAAGTGCCGATCGCTGGGGTGGTTGTTAAGTTAATCAATTGTTTATGCTAAATCTTGTCTACTCAAGAACCAACTTGTGAGCTCTGAGGTACTAAAAACAAAACCTCACCCTTCAGACAAGGAAAGAACTGTCAGTTCTGAGCGGCACCAGTAGGTGGCACTGGCGGTCACCAGCGGTCCAGCACCAAGTCCTGAAACTGGTTCCGGCCTCTATGCTTAGAGTTGAGTTGTTTTAAGACTGATGACACTGTAATATCTGACAACTGCAGAAGCCGCGAGCGTGTTGCTAGTGAGAAGGGAACACGATGATGACAGACGAAATTCAGATGGTGATTTTCTAAAAAGCAAGTGGTGAGAAAACACTGGTGTGTGTACGTGAGGCGGGTAGTGCAGTTGAAGAAACACTTAGGTGCTGTGTCCAAGCAGACAACAGTCATTGGCAGGTGCTGGGGGGAAATGCTTGACAATGTAGAGCACACCGTGTAATGCATGGCTTGGAAGAGCGGTGTCAGACGTGTGTGCAGTGAAATGAAAGTCGCTCAGGCGTGTCTGACTCTTTGCGACCCCACGGACTGTAGCCCGCCAGGCTCCTCTGTCCATGGGACTCTCCCGGCAAGAATAATGGAGTGGGTGGCTGTGCCCTCCTCCAGGGCATCTTGCCGACCCCAGGAATCGAACTGGGGTCTCCTGCACTGCAGGCAGATTCTTTTTACCAGCTGAGTCACCCGGGAATTAGCCTGACGCTTATTCAGGAAACAACTGCAGGCTTGTTGAGGAGCTGCTCATGGTGGAGACGCTACCGATGAAGCCCAGGTCCAAAGCTCTGCGTGTGACAAAGGCCCGAGTCCCTCTGAAAGCCACGACTGGAGGTCGGGGCTCCAGCATTGTCCACGGCAGCTGTGGAGGTTATCAAGGGAGTATGGTTAGCTGCCGCCTCTTTTTCAGTGTAGAAGAAACTGATCCTTTTTGCAAAATGATGCCCCACAGATCTCGTATCACTGAGGGAAGGGAGAATGAACCTGTTTTTAAGGTTCACACTCCTTTTAGTGGAAATGCATTCAAAGACCGCAAGCGTGAGCCCTTCAAAGCCATCTCAGACTTCTAAACAGACCGCCTTCCCCGAAGCCTGCTGGGCGCCTTCTCATCTGTTCATCAGGAGAGGGACTGGCTATTGCCCTGTTGTGCTTTTGGTGCAGGGGGCTGCATCCTTTTTAATATTACACCCTTATTAATATAATATCAAAATAAGAGAAAAAGAGAATGTGGCTGGTAGAGATTGTGAAACCTATAGGATTCATTCATTTGCCAAGTAATAGGCATAAGGGGCTTCCCAGGTGGCGATAGTGGTAAAGAACCCCCTGCCGATGTAGCAGATGTAAGAGATGCGGTTCGATCCCTGGGTTGGGAAGATCCCCAGAGGAGGAAATGGCAACCCACTCCAGTGTTCTTGCCTGGAGAATCCCATGGACAGAGGAGCCTGGCGGGCTACAGTCCATAGTGTGGCAAAGAGTCGGACACAACTGAAGCAACTTAGTACACATGCACGCACACAGAGGTGGCCAATGCCAGTTATCACCTGCGTTATTCTGGAGATAATTATTCACACGGGAGCAGCTCGGGCAGCTGGGAAGTGCAGTGTCGCAGGTAGCCACGTGCTAGCTGTGGTGGAGAAGGGGCAGGATTGAGGCCCTGTGGGTTTGCTTTATGGCACAGAAGTGACCCTAAGTCCCCCCGTGCTCCACGCTGAATCTTAGCACCAGTACTGACCTCCGGCTGAAACGTTTGCAATTTCTGACCTGTGCCAGGACCCAGGATGGAGTCCTCAGGCACAAGGCTCAGACATGGCGGTCCCGTGGGTTGAAGGTGACTGTTTCGGCCACACAGGTCACGTGGCTGCCAGGCTGGCCATGGCCCGGACTCCACGCACAGGCCAGGGAGCAGGCTACGGGGCAGGTGTGACTGACCTGGTCTTAGGAGGTGCCCGGGGTGCTATGCCAACTCAGCCACAGAGCCTGGGCGGGGGTGGCGTGGGGCCCACACAGGTGGCCCTGGGGATCCCCACAGTAGAACTGGGAACCTCATGGGCAGGAGCCGGCTCCTGGGAAACCCACATGGAGTGGCAGAAGCCCAGATTCTGAGCTGGGGCGTGGGGGCAGCGGGGACCCTGGGAGGGGGTGGGCGCCGGGGAGAGGGGGCAGGGCTCCAGGTACCAAGTGCTCCAGGCGTGTCCCCAGACCTGGTGGTCACGACTAAGATGCTTCTCTGGTCTGACCTAAAACAGAGGGTGAGGCCCATCAGGGACTGAGAGAGAAAGAATTGAGATTAAGGAGTAGTGTTGATGTCTTACAGTAATCCCAGAGGTCCTGGGGCCAGCCAGGAGCAAACCACCAGCCCTCAGCTTCTGAGCAGTAACTCACCTCTAGCCCTACTGAGCCCAGACGCCGGGGTCTCCGATGGAGTTTCATGGAGTCAGGAGCTCACCTGTTGCTGGGAAATGGGTGGGTCCAGAGGTGGGGTGGGCGCAGTGTTTGGGAACATTGACAGAAGGGAGGCATTAACAGATGATCTTCTGAAATTGCACTGCAGCTCGAAGTGGCATAAAATGTGTTTCATTTGGTTTTTAGCTGTTCTCCAGGTCCTCAAGAAATATTCACCAAATGCTGGCAGATTCTGTCAGTCGCATGAAGGAATTCGGATTTCACCAGGTAAAAGACTCCCCTTCCATGTCAGGGGCGAAGTGCAGAGCCAGTTCCGCTGATGTCTCACAAGTTGGTTTATTAGCCTCACACAGAAATGAAATTAAGCAGCAGGATGTGAACTCTGAGACGCTCGTGGACACAGCTCTTCATCTTTACCTGTTGATCCGGAGTGGGAGAGTCTTGAGTATCACGGAAAGAGCAGGTGCCAGGACGTATCAGCTGGACCCCTCCCTGAAGACCCGATACAGTCAGAGCGGGTGGCGGCCAGCGCTGGGGAGACTGATTTCAGAGATAAAGCCAGCATGAAACGTGGCCGAATGGTGGATTCAGATCAGGTTCCGCAGCGTCCACCCCCTCTCGAGCCTGCCCCTTTGCGCCAAGTGACCTCTTGTGTCATTGTGTCCACAGCGCTCACGGGACCTCCAGGCGCTCAGCTGTCTGCGTCTGTGTGGACGGGGGTCTCCTGGCCCCCTCGTCCTGCTCTCTTGGTCCCAGAGCTGCTCTCAGGATAACTGAGGCAGGGACTTGGAACCTTGTAGGGCTTGACCACAGAAGATTGGAAAAAGTGGAGTAAGAGATGAGGCTGTGAAAAGAAGGATCTACTGGCCATGGTGGGGTGGCGGGGATGAGGGCGGCCTGGGTCCAGTTCCCATGGACAGTGTGACCCAGGCACCTTCTCCTCTGCGGGGCCGAGCGTGACCCGCGAGCACGCACATCGTAGACTTGAGTCACAGGGACCCTTGGAGCTCCGGGCCTGGTACGCAGCTGCTGCTGAAATAGGTGCCTCTTTCCAAAAACAGCAGCCATAGTCGCTAAAGGAGCTTCCCAGGGGCACTGCCCTGACCATGATGTCATTTTACACGCGGGCAGGCGGGGAAGAAGGGTCAGAAGGTCTGCCCTGTTCGTTCAGACCCCTGTGTTGAGGTGCTCCTGAGTGCCGGCCTCTGCTGAACAAAACAGCTCGAGTCCTGCCCTCAGAAAGCTGCTGTTTCTGACAAGGAGACAGATGATAAACCTGACGTGTGAAGTCAGGTCCTAGGAGCTCTGGAGGAAAATAACTGCAGGATAAGGGAGCTGAGGATGGGCCTGAGAAGGTCGCTATGTGAAGTGGATATTGGAGCAGAGGCCTGGAGCCTGAGGCTGGGGCCATGGGGCTGGCTGGGGAAGCCCGTTCCAGGCAGAGGGAACTGCATATAGGAGGACACAGAGGCAAGAGCTGTCGGGCGCAGTGAAGGGAAGACAGGAAGGTCAGTGGTGGAGGCAAGAGAGAAATGGGTGGATGAGCTGGACCGAGGGGCCGGGGAGGGAGCCGGTGGGACTGTCTGCATCAGCGGCTGCAATGAGCGGCTCTGTGCTGGGGCCTTTGACAGCCCCTCTGCCCGTCTCCAGCTCGGCACCGTGGCCCCTGGACGTGTGGACCAGCGTCCAGCCTCAGCCCTGATGCCCCTCCACTTCCCGGCCTTCATCCTGGACCTCCGGGCTGCGGCAGACAGACAGGTTCCCTGTCTTCAGCGGACAGACAGACATTTCCACCTCTAAAGAGGAGATGAGGGTTTTCTAAATAGAGCAAGTAAAGGTCAACTTGTAAAGCCTTTTCTAAAAGAACATTTTTCTGGAGGAATCCTTAGGGAAACTCCGGACGGGTTCTCAGGTGTTCTAGCCGGGTTGGATGAGCAGAGCGGCCAAGGCCAGATCTCACCCGCTGTCCTGTGAAGCTCACTGATTCTGTCTCTTCCTTCCCTGTGCCCATACGCACTGATGCGGCAGATGATAAAGGAGTGCGACTTCCTAAACACGGCGCTCCCCGACACTGGGGTATCCCCCCAGCAACCGAGCACCACCCAAGCTATTATTTACTTAATATATTTCCTGAAGGAGACCCACTTTGCAAGCTTCTTGCTTTTTCTGAGCAACAGTATGCATGATATCATAGTTTAGTATTGCAGTTATATTTTTCCCAGTTATTTAAAATCGTTTTTAAAAAGGCAGGTAGCAAACAAAGCTCCACTTTGAAGTTTTTCCTGTTTGAACTTAGAAATTGCAACCGGCCCTTGGGATTTATTTCAGGCTTGCCAACAGCTTCGTTAAGGCGATGACAAACTTTAATATTCATGCCAAACACCAAAAGCTGTTCTTTGGTTTTTATAATATTGACTAAAGAAAGGGGCTTAGCCCTAGGCAGGAAAGAGTTTAGAAAGAAGACAAAAGTGAAAACAAGCAAACCACAGAAGTTTTGATACATATGAGGTGAAGTGCAATTTCTGAATTATCACCATCTTCTGTGTTAACTGTGATTTAATGGTGATTGAAACCAGTTTCACAGCGTGTATTTTACTTGTGGTGAAATCATTTAACCACAAGAGAGTCTACTTTTCTATAGGAAAACACAAAAGAGAAAAGCCATCATTTTTGTGGTGCAGAGCAACGCACAGCCAGACCTCCCTGACTTTCAGTTTCTTTCATGACTCAGCTGACAGGCTGTTTCTTGCTGCGTGCAGTGACTTGTAAATTCAGTTTTCTCGTGAGCACTCAGGAGGCTGTCCTCAAATAAACAAAGGGGTTTCTAAGTGATTTGGTGTGTTAGATTTCTCTCTGGTTAAAAACAAATTCCCTTGAATGCACTTAATGCTTCAGAACGGTAAACGTCAAAATGGTTGATGGTAAACTTCATATTATGCAAATTTTACTGTAATTTTTTAAATGTTATGGTGGTAGTTTTATGTGATAGGTATTTTACCACAGTAAGTAATATTGTAGGTCCGCTACGCTTCAATAAAAAAATTTCCTTTCCAAGTAAGACTCGTGTTTCTTAGTGTATATTTTTCCTTCTCAAAAAGGATGCTTTAAAAAGATATTTTTGTATATTTTATTTTTTTAAATTTTATCTATTGAAGTACAGTTGATATATAGTATTGTGTTAGTTTCAGGTGTACAACACAGTGATTCAGCTATTCTGATTATTTCCATTATATGTTATTGTAAGATATTGAGTATAATCCTTGTGCTATACACTAAGTCCTTGTTTATCTGTTGTATATAGCACTTTGATCCTAACTTATCCCTCCCTCCTTCCTTCTCCCCTTTGGTAATCTCTAGGTCCACCCATGTTTCTGCAAGTGTTTGGTTCTTTTTTATGGCTGAGTAATATTCACCTGTGAATAAATACCGTATCTTCTTAAGCCAGTTATCTGTTGATGGGGACTTGGGTTGTTGCTGTGTCTTGGCTATTGTCAGTGGTGCTGCTATGAACTTTGGGATGCGTGTGTCTTTTCGAATTAGAGTTTTCTCCAGATATACATCCAGGAGTGGGATCACTGAAACACGTGGTAGCTCTATTTTCAGTGTTTTAAGGAAACTCCATACTGTTTTCCATTGTGGCTGCACCAACCTACATTCCCTCCCTCAGTGTAGGAGGGTTCCCTTCTCTCCACTCCCTCTTCGGCATTTATTTGTAGACTTTCTAATGATGGCCATTCTGACTGGTGTAAGGTGATAGCACGTTGTAGTTGACTTGACTTCTCAAATAGTTAGCCTCTTTCCATGTGCCTCTTGGCCATCTGTATGTCTTCTTTAGGAAAATGTCCTGTTAGATTTTCTGCTCCTTTTTTGATTGGGTTGTTTATTTTTTCAATATTGAGTATATGAGCTGTCTATATGTTTTGAATAGTAACCTCTATTGATCGCATCTTTTGCAAATATTTTCTCCCAGTCTTTTCACTTTGTTGATGGTTTCCATTACTGCACAGACACGTATAAGTTTGATTAGGTCCCATTTGTTTATTTTTGTTTTTATTTCTTATGCCTTGGGAGACTCAGTTAAGAAAATATCGCTATGATTTATGTCAGAGGATGTTTTGCCCATGTTCTCTCGTAGGACTGCTATGGATTGTGTCTTATATTTGGGCTTCCCAGGTGGCACTAGTGGTGGGGGAAAAACAAAACTCACCTACTGATGCAGGAGATGTAAAAGACACAGGTTCAATCCCTGGGTTGGGAAGATTCCCTGGGGGAGGGCATGACAACCCACTCCAGTGTTCTTGCCTGGAGAATCCCACGGACAGAGGAGCCTGGTGGGCTACAGTCTGTGGGGTCACAAAGGCAAGACATGACTGAAGTGACTTAGCATGCACATATATCTTATATTTAGGTCTTTAAACCATTTTGCGTTTATTTTTGTGTGTCGTTTGAGGAAGTTTTCTAACTTCATTGATTTACAGTAGCTGTCCAGCTTTGCCAGCACCACTTGGTGAAGAGACTGTCTCTTCTCCGTTGTATAGTCTTGCCTACTTTCTCATAGATGACTGTAAGTGTGGGTGTTTATTTCTGGGCTCTGTATTCTGTTCCATTGATCTGTATGTCTGTTTTGTGCTATTGTCATGCTATTTTTATTTACTGTAGCTCTGTAGTATAGAGTGAAGTCTGGGAGGTATTTTGCTTCCATCTTTGTCATTTTTCCTCAGGATTGCTTGGGCAATTCTGGGTCTTTTGCAGTTCCATATAAACTTTAGGATTATCTGTTCTAGTTTTGTGCAAAATGTCATGGGTCTTTTGATAGGGATCACATTAAATATGTAGATTGCTTTGGGTAGTATGGCTATTTTAACAATATTTACCCTTCCAATCCAAGAACATGGGATATTTTTCCTTTGTTTTGAATCATTTTCAATTTCCTCTATCAGTGTTTTATAGTTCTCAGTGTAAAGGTCTTATTCCTAGGAGTTTTTTGGTTTTGTTTTGTTTCGTCTTGCTTGACATGATTTTAAAATCACATTTAAATTTCTTTGTTGGTCTAAAGGAATGCAACAGGTTTCTGTATATTAATGTTGTATCCTGCTACCTCGCTGAATTCATTTATTAGTTCTAGTATATTTTGTGTGGAGACTTTAGGGTTCTCTATATAGAGTATCCAGTCATCTGCAGATAGTGGCAGTTTTACCTCTTCCCTTCCAAGTTTTTCTTTGTCTTTTATTTCTGTTTCTTGTCTGATTGCTATAGTTATGACTTCCAATACTATGTTGAATAGAAGCGGCAAGAGTGGGCATCTTTGCCTTGTTCCTGTGGGAAGTTCTCAGCTTTTCACCGTTGATGATGATGTTTGGCTGTGGGTTTGTTGTAAATGGCCTTCATTATGTTGAGATATGTTCCCTCTAAACACATACTGATGAGAGTTTGGCTCTTTTACATTCTTTTTATGCATCTGTGGAGATAACCATATGGCTTTTGTCTTTTCTTTTGTTGATGTGGTGTACCTCATTGATCGATTTCGGTACGTAGAATCATTCTTGTGACTGTGGGATGAATCCAACTTGATCATGGTATAGGATCCATTTTATGTATGGTTGGATTCAGGTTACAAATATTTTGTTGAGGAGTTTTGCATCTATATTGTCCAGAGATATTGGCCTGTAAATTTCCTTTTTGTAGTGTCTTTGCCTGGTTTGGTGTAGGGTGATGTTGGCTTCATAGAATGATTTGGGGAGAGTTCCCTCCTCTTCAGTCTTTAGGAAGAGTTTGAGATGGATTGGTATGAATTCTTCTTTGTGTGTGTGGTAGAATTCCCCAGTGAAGCCATTTGGCCCTGGACTTTTGTTTGCAAGAAGTTGTTTTTGGTTTTGTCTTATTTTTTAATTAGAGATTCTATTTCACTTCTAGTAACTGGTCTATTCAAATTAACTGTTTTTTCCTGATCAGCTTTAGCAGACTGTATTCTTCCAGAAATGTGTCCATTTTCTCTGGGTTGTCCACCTTGTTGGCATATAATTGTTCATAGTTTTCTCTTACGATTTTTTAAATTATTTCTGTGGTATCAGTTGTTATCCTCTCATTTCTAATTTTGTTTACTTGAGTTCTTTCTCTCTCTCTTTTTCGTGAGCCTGGCTAGAGGTTTGTTAAATTTGTTTATCTTTAAAAACAAAACAAAACAGTTGTTGGTTTTATTGATCTGTTCTATTGTTTTTGAACCCTATTTTATTTATTTCCTCTCTGATCTTTTATTTCCTTCTTTTTGTTGACTTTGGATTTTGTTTGTCCTTTTTGTAATTCTTTTAGGTGGTAAGTTAGGCTGTTTTGAGATTTTTTTCTTGTTTCTTGAGGAAGGCCTGTATTTCTATGAACTTCCCTCTTAGAACTGCTTTTCCTGCATTCCATAGATTATGTAAGTTTGTGTTTTCATTTTTGGGCTTTCTATTCTCTTTCATTCATCTATACGCTCATTTTTGTGCCCACACTGTACGTAGCACCTGCCTCATTGCAGGAAACTCCCAGAGTTCCTCATGAGTGTTTGTTTTTGTTTTTTAAACAGAAGAAAGAATCTGTGAAGAAAACACAAGATGAAGAAATAAAACAAATAGATGAAGAGAGAACCAAGCAGATTTATAAAAACTGGAAAGAAGATTCAGAGTGGCAGGCCTCTTGTAAGTATCCAGAGGCCTCTATTACAGTGACACTAAACCAGCTTGTTCACTTAATAATGTGACGATCTGGGAAACACTTAGAATGATTGTTCAGAGATATTTTTAACACTAAATTATTACTCAAAGGCTACAGGCCACCTTTTGAGTTGCAGAAAGGTTCTCAGCTCATCTTTGTACCAACAACATTATGATGTATCTAAATGATGGAATGGTATTTAGCTATGAAAAATGTTTTGGAAGAGTATTTAATGTTCTTGGAATATATTATATATTTTTAACTTGGAGAAGAAAAATGATTATAAAAATAGTATGAAAGGCATCCCTATTTTAAAATGTCTAAGTATATGAGGGAAAAGACATGGAAGGTTAACATATTAACATTAGTATTCTTGGAGAGGCAGGATTCGAAGTTACTTTTTGGACTTCTTGTTTTTGTGTATTTTTCTCAGTTTTCAACAGTGAGCACATCTAAACTTTGTAATCAGAAGACAGGGAGAGCAGGCAGTCTTGCCCGCATTCTTGCCACACCTGTGGCTGAACCCTGCTTCATTCTGAGTTAGCACTGCCCAGAGATGGTCCTCCTGGGGAGAGGCCAGTGCAGATGAAGGCGGAGCAGAGGGTGTGTGAGGCTGATGCTAGGAGGATTCGGGTGTGAAGCAGGGTTAGGGCTTCCATCTGACTTGTACAAGGAAGCCCTAACTGCCCAGTCATCCCTTGAGGCAGCAGGAGGAGCCAGGGATGGGCATGTTTGCAGAATGTTGGGAATTCCTTTACAACGAACACCATTAAAATGACAGTTTTTGTGAAATGAAAATGTTCACCAGATCCCATCACTTCTGTGCAGTGAACTCTTAGTGTAATGGAAGATTTTAGGCATTTCTATGAAGTCAGACATAACAGATTCTGACCAATAATGCCTGAAATGCAGATAAATACCCATAAGGCTTATTCTTACATCCTGCATTCAAGTCCTTGATGCTCGGTTGCTGGAATAAAAACCCCCAAACCAACAGCCCCTGTGTTACAAAGCAATCATAAAAGGCTGCTTTGGGATGCTTTCATGCACCCACAGAGGCTGTGACTGACCGTGTAAGAATCATTTCCCTCTTCGGTCTGGGAGGCCGAATCACTCGTGGCTCAGCCACGCGGACTCTGAGCCTTGCTGCCCACCCTCCCCGTCCTCGGCCACGAGGAGCCCCTGATGGTTTGGGGGGTGGGGTATCATCCTGAGACCCCGCTGACCGGACCCTCGCTCGGGCTGAGGCTCCTCTCCGCCTTGGCCGCTGCAGGAAGCTCTCGGGCACCGGGCTCGCCGTCCTCCCCCGCCCCGGCCCCCTCTCCCACCCCCCGGTCTCCCTCTCAGCGAACCCCGCGGAAGGAGAGGGCAGGCGCCGGGCCCTGACCCCTGGGGGCCGTGCCCTGACCCCAGAGCCGCTCTGCCCCGCATCCGCGGCGCTGGCTCAGCTCACCGTCTCCGAGGGCTGCCGGGGCCTGTCTCGAACCCCGCTGTCTCTTCTAGTGCGAAAATCCAAAGCTGCTGATGAGAAGCGGCGCTCCCTGGCCAAGCAGGCCCGCGAGGACTACAAGCGGCTGTCGCAGCGGGGGAAGAGCGGCACAGGACAGCAGGGCCCGCCGGGCGGCCCCCAGAAACCCAGGAGGCCCCCGCTCCCGCCCAAGCCTCGGTTCCTGGGCCCAGCAGGACAGCCACACACACCTCTCAGGTGAGACGCCTAAGTAATTAAAGGTGAGTGGCGTGGCCGCTTCGGGGACAGAGGCTGCGGGTGCCATTGAGTCCGGGCCCAGCTCCCAGCCTACGATGCTGAGACACCGGGGCAGGCCTGCATCCCTCCTCGCCTGTAAAATGCCCACTGTGGGTACCACTCACATGCCCAGTCACTTCGTGAAGATACCTAGAGAGGTTAGCGACTTCGCATGCCCCCAGCCCCTCCCCGGTGACAGCCCGCGAGGGGAGGGGGACCGTTGAGGGGTCGTCACAGTGGGAACCTGGGCTTGCTGGCCTTCATGTCACCAGCAGAACTCCCTTTTCCACTGATTAGATTTGATGACACGTCTCATTCTGGGGTGGCCTTTCCTGGTGGCCCTGCAGGTAAAGAATCTGCCTGCCAGCGCAGGAGAGGCAAGAGACACAGGTTCAATCTCTGGGTCGAAAGATCCCCTGGAAATGGCAACCCATTTCTTGTCCGGAACATTCCATGGACAGAGGAGCCTGGAGAGCTACAGTCCACTGGGTTGCAAAGAGTCAGACACGACTGAACACACGCACTCATTCTGGGATATACAGCTAAGCGCATAGGTTGAGAATTTGGAAATGTTTTCTTTTTTAAATGAAGACTTTATTTGATGATGACGATACCCTAGCTTTGGGAGTATTAGGCCGAACAACTTGTTTTGGAAGCCTCTTAATGAAAAATACAGTGGTACCACAGCAGAAACTCCCATACCTTATTTTTTATTTATTTATTTATTTGAACTGGAGGCTAATTACTTTACAATATTGTGGTGGTTTTTGCCATACATTCACATGACCTTATGTTAACTGATTATAAAATTATTTTCTCCCAGTCGTTGCTATTCTATGATTCGGTACATAGAAAGATGATATTTAAAATAACCGAGAGAAATCACACATTGATTTAATGAAATACAACTGTCTAAAGCCTTGTCCTCTCTGACATAAAAACTAAAAGCCCCTCTCTGTTAGGAGTATGGAAGAATAAAGAACAAAGCTCTCCCTTTGTATGAGGTCAGTGGTTATCTTCAGGTTTTTTCCTAATGGGAACTATGACCTCAGAGGATGCAGGGGTTGGACGTTTCCTCTACTGTGATTATTTCTTTACTCAATTGAAAGGTTCCATCTGGGGACTTGCAGGCCAGCACAAAATGACCGTGTTCTACAGAATGGCTGTTTGGGGAATGAGTTTTTGCCTATGGATAACAAAACAAGGAAGGCCCCACAGTGCTGTGACCGGGCGCAGAGCGTGAACTCCTGCCCAGCCCCTCCCGCGCCCGAGCCTGTCACCGAGTCGGGCCCGGGTCCCCGCGGGCTGGGTGCTCATCCAGGCTCCTCCGAGGGTGGGAACATGCTGTCATATGTCTGCACCCAGGGCGTTTTTAGAGCACAGCACATGCGACTGACGGCAAAGAAGGTGCCCTTTCACGAGGGTTTTAAGATGATGTTTTAAGCTCAGTTAGCTCATTTTTTCCAACTTAAGCCTCTTGCATGAAGTGCTTTTTGTGAGGTGGCCAGACTAGATGGTGTCAGAGCTGGGATTTCAAACATTGATGTCCGAGGTCAGCTAGGAGCCAGCCCAGGGCAGAACAAACATGGACTGTCCATGGAGTTTCCGCTTGACCGCCAAAGATTTCCTGAAGAGAGAACCTAATCTGAAGGTTGGGAGGAGAAATTAGCATGTAATCTCGTGCGGGCAGTGTCCGCTCCCCCGGAAGGTCAAGTATTATAGGCTGTTTTCTCCAACTGCATGTTCCTCTGTACTTGCGTGTACATCATGTGTGTATATGTACAAGCTGACATGTATGTCACATGTAACTCATGGTAGCATGTGTTACCATTAAGATGTATAAAGAACATGAGTTAATTTACATGATATCCAGTAGCTCCTTCAGACTCGTCGTTTTTACATTGAATTCTGCTCAGAATTAGTGGGCTTGGGACTTGGAAATACATTTATTACTAATACACTGCAGCGTTGCTTTTTATCATGGAAATTGACTTAGGTCCCAAAACTTCAGTTCTGCTACTGATTTTTATTTCAAAACCATGCTGCTGCCTGTATCTTTCTCTTAACCAAGTTTCAAACACTCTTCTTTCTTTTACTTTCCATTTCTGAGACTGCTAAAAAGCAGAACTTTTGAAAGTGTATCACAGAAGGAAGCAAGTCAGGGAGGTTAGTGGAAACAGGAAGAAGAGGAAATTGAATGATGAAAGTGTTGGGGACGTTTATTCTATGGCATTTGGTTTCTTCTGCTTGCAAGCACTTGCTCTCCAGGAAAAATATGGGGTGAGGGGGCAGAATATTTCACTTTTTAGTGCTCTTTTCTCAATTTTTAATTGGGAGTTAATGAAGCCTCTCACTCATATCAAAAATGAACTAAATACTGTGGTGTTAACGCATACCCATGAGTAGTCTACAGGACTGGCAGGGCAGATCCATTCCCCACCCTGTTCCCTGACTTGGAGGAGCCCTGTGAGGGCTGTATGCAGGGCCCCACCCCACAAGCTCAGCCGTGTGATCTTCAGACGTGTGTTGTATTTGTGTGTGTGTGCGTGCACGTGAGTTTTGAAAGCATTATTTTCAAATCGAGTGACTCTAACTTGCAAACCTTTTACGAATGTCAGGAATGAGAGAGTGGCGAGGCCGGCGTCCAGCCCAGCCCAGGAGGACATCAGGCGCTGGTTCCAGGAGGAGCAGCTTCCTCTGCGGGCCGGCTACCTGACAGACTCGGACAGCATCGCCCCCTGGTTCCACGGTGAGTGCGCGGCGCCGACCCCGGCGGCGGGTGAGCCAGCAGGAGGGCAGGATAAAGGCTCCCTTCTGCTTGAGCCGCCCCAGAGGCTCTGATAGTGTTCTCAGAAAGTGGATTTTCCCAGCTTTCTCAGGGAGCGGCTGGCTCCTGCCGAGTGGCCCGGAGCCTTGGTGGCTGCCAGCGCAGGTTGGTTGACCCCCCCAGATGGACACCGTGGGGCGATCGGCAAGGCATTGCCCCCCGGGCACCTGCGCAGGGCACTCGGTTGTGACCCCTGCAGATGGCAGCACCCTCGGCCCACGCCCCCCAACCAGGGAGGGGCCACTAGATGTGGTCGGAAGGGCGTGACCTTGAGCGGATCACGTTCTCTCTTGTTGTTTAGTTGCTAAGTTGTGTCCGACTCTTTGCGACCCCATGGACTGCAGCACACCAGNTGAAGGGGTTGAGCACTGTGACCTTTAATTAAAAGCTCTGTGGTTTTGATCTCTGCAGTTAAGGCTGCGAGGTGGGCTTGTTGGAGGCTAAGCAGAGGTCAGCTCATAAACATGTCTTCATTCGATGCTCGAAACGGGGCTCATTCAAACCATCTATTTACCTAGCACCCACCTCACCGACCTCTCAGTTTCTTGGATTTCAAGAACAGGCGGTGACTTTCTGCTTCTGCAGGCTCTGTGGTTGGGTTGGATTATCATTGGCTCTGTGGGCAACAAAAGCTTTAAGACAGAAATCACATCCTCTCACAGAGAACACTTGTCCTAACGGGTGTCTTGGTTTGAGTTGTATTTAAGGCTACGCTATTTTCAGTAGGATCATCTCACGTAGAAATAGAGCCACAAAAATAAGTTCCCAAACCCATAGGATGGCAAACTCCTCTGAAAAAGAACCAAGTTGTCTGTGGCAGGCTCTCTGCAAAGGGGCTGCTTTTATAGGTGCAGGAGAACCATCTAGTTTAACCTGAAAATGCAGGTTCTCTGATGACTGAGGTTTAGTAACTCCATGCCCAGAGGAGCCCCTCTGTCTCCCAGGACGAGGTCATAAGCCTCCTTCCCCTTTCTGCTCTCCTCAAAAGATACTGGGGGAGGGAGTGACAGTGGCGTCAAAAGATAAACAGAAAGAACATGGTCAGTGACCCATCTGTCATGCTCACCTCCACCATCTCGCATTGCCTGTTTTTTCCTTTTTAAGATAAGCAGTGAGAAAACTGGCCTCTCTGTAGTCTCTATGTCATTGAGCAGAAGATGCTGCTGTCCCTGGTTCCGAGGGTGCTAGCTTTTTTAACTGCAGGGAGTGAGAAATTCAAAGTGCTGATGTTATTAAAAATCCTGA